CGGCGAGGTAGCGAAGCAGTGCTAAACGCTCCTGTATCTGCAGAACGTGCGGAATGGCCAATACCGATGGGCTCGAAGTCAGATCAAGGGGAGAGGAGGTAGGGGAGAGTAGCGGCGCATTAAAACGCTGCATGTAGTGCTCCAGGTTACCGATGCAAACATTGATCAGGTCATCGTTTATGGCTTGCTGGCTAACAACTTCAGCCTCGGAGTACTGAGAAGATGAAAAAAAAAAAGAATACGTAAATGACTGCTAGCAGAAGGTAGGGGGTATGACAAAAGGAAATAAACAGTCGCTAGGTGACTTTAGTCCCATAGATTTTGTGTGTTCCCATACGACAGTTGGACCGTCGCTCTCAACGATGTCCACCACGAGTCTCAGCAGACTGAAGCAACGCGGTGACTGCAGCTGGATTACAGTGAAAGTAGACTCGCCGGATCTACCCCACTTTCTGACCACTTCGACACCCGAGCCCGGTGTCAGGACAGAGTCGAGAAGACCGGGGATGAGTGAGGGCGCAAGTGGCTGGCGCGACCAACACACAAAACGTGTACCAACAGGACACCCCGCTAGGTAGACTCCCATCTGGGAGCGCCATCAGGACCACAGTATGAAGGAGCCACTACAGCCTGACTCTCAACCCACAGTAAGCCACTCCACTCAGCTAGACACACACTGGACTGACTGCAATGTGCACGTTATCCCGTCAGTGAATAACCCTCCAAGCTACGGCTTCTAGCGTACCATGATAGGTTCAAGCGCATCAGATTGATTCTAGAGAGGAAAGAAATGCGCCGAGGGTGGACCTAACTCTCTCTCTCACACATCGTCAGCAACAGTAAAATCGCGTAGCTGATCGGTCGCCTGAGGTGGGTGTGTTCGCATAAAGTGGCAAACTACGAAAGACTATAGAGCAAGAACGTTAACGGCGTATTTTCCGGTCGTCAACTTCATCCACCGAGGGACTGACCGTGAACTGACTACAGTACTGTTGATAAGTGTCACGACTTACGCTAACCTCAGTTCGTAACCGTTTTAATTTAGAGTCGCTGAAAAAGGTTAATGTTTTACCAGACAGATCGAATTTACGTTTGGCGTAACCTAGTATTGGAGGCTTCTGTTCTTCTGATGCGCTCTTCCCTTCAGGCCATCCTCACGACTGAATTTGGGGTTTGACCTTAAACGGTGATTGATCCTGCGTTGTCTACCATAGAAATCCGCTTCCATAACAAATGCCGAACATGGGGGGGGAGGGAGGGGCGTGGTGGCACGCATAGGTAGAGGATCATGCCGACCCAACCAACTGCGTCCGATCCCGTCTCTGGTGTCCTTTGCTTTGCCAGGAAACGGGTAAGGAAATAGAGTGTGTTAGATGCAACCCAAGTTAACTATCATTAAAACCTAATTACCGCACAAGTCACCATCCCTGCACCATGTTGCTGTGGAGCAGGCGGTGGACACCGTCGGAATCGGAGGTCGAACTGTCGGTTAGCACAGTAACGTGACTTCCTCATTTGAGCCGCCTGTACAATTACTTCAAAAACAACGCAATTCCCCTCCCGCCGTAAATATTCCTTTTGGGAGGTTAAGGTACAATCTACTGAAACCCACATGCGCAGTGGTTAGTCTCCAGTACGAACGCATTTTCAGTAGCAGTAGAGTCTTTATGTAGAAAACTATAGGAAAAAAAACGCCCCAGGAATGATGGCCGCACATCTAAATCGACAGCTGGTTAATTATATCGAGTATCGCAAATAGTGATGGCTAATTACTCTGAGAATGATCAAACAAAAGAATAACCAACCTGGGGGAAGAGTGAACAAACATCGTAGAACTGCCTGCACGCACATACAACGTCATAGTCATTAGAATCCTCCTTTAGGATCGCCGAGAATCGATTCAACCACTCCAGCAACGGCTTTTGCTAAAAGTAAATAAACATGTTATTAAATTACCTACTTATACTTTAGCAGTAGACAATTACGTTTTTATTAACAAACCTCTCGACATGAGTCCAAAATCTGTTTGTGTGCGGACAACGCTGTTTGCATAACCTCGTTGAAGAGGATGGGGTTGGTGGCCAGTTTCCAGAGAAAATCGAGTGCTTTCATGGCGAATGATTCGCGTTCTTTTACCGCCAGACGCCTAATTAGTTCGATTAGACGTTCCCTCTGTCGTCTGTTCGCCGTTTCAAAGTCTTTCTAAACGAAAAACGAAAGGGGTGTGAATTCGTTTTCGGAGGGGGGAGTGAGATTTACATGCAGAAAATTTCGAAAATCAAAGGAGGACTGCTTATTAAACTCTTAAATGCTATAAAGACCATCCTACTGATTATACGAAGTAGTGCAGATTACAAAAACGAGACTGTTTAACTTGGTCTTGGCGGTCGGTGCGCCAAAATGGTATTTAAGACGATTGATACGGCGGCGGCGAGCGACCATAATAACTAAATCTTATGAACGGACTTTCTAAAGTATTTACGGAAATGGAGGCCAAATACAAGGCAAAAGAAAGTATAGACTAATTCCGGGGGGGGAGAGCGCCGCAAATCAAAAAATCATTTGTCTCGTAACAATTCTGCATAGGATAAACGTTTGACTTGCGTCTCCTTGCGTCTACACTTGGTTAAACCTTCTCGGTTCTCTGCTCTATAAAAGTCCGAGGGATTGCATAGGTGTTTCGAAATTAAACTGTACCAAAGAAAGTATCTTACCCCGAAGCAAACAAACAGGTGATCCAAATGCTCAGACGTAAGATGACCCACGAGCTTCTCCAGCATGTTTTCCACGTTCTTTACGATGGCCTCATGCTGCCCCGCTTGAGCGTCCCAAATCTCCTGAAGATCCTTTAGAGAAAGTTCGTGGCTTTCTGTGATGAACTGCACAACTTTTGTCACTTTTTCCGCATACTGTGGTTGGTGAAGATTCTCGCGCAGCAGAAAGCTCAAGACCTGAAATTGAGGTGCAAAAGAATTACTGGATTCTGTGAGCGAAGGGTCGGCGGATAGTAAAGAAAACAGGGTTTATTTGGCGGGGTGTGCAAGCCACTCTGTGCTTCATATGCAGGCCTCTTTATGTCGTCTAGTAACACGGCTCAGAAAAGAATTACTTCGAAAAAAAGATATGACGAACTAGTGAAAAGTATGTGCGGTTAGGAAACGAAATAACGAAAGTTTTAGGAGGCTTACAGTAAACATTTTATGAGCTTACTTTTTTAGTTTAACATGTCCTTCCATGTGGACGAGCAAAGTAGTTTTGCCGTAAAGTGGCGATGGATGTGAAGAAAATAGTATTTATTATTCTGGTAAAGATGTCCTAAATTATGAAGGAAAGTTATAAGATCCGAGACCCAATAAGCTATGGAGAGAAGAGTCAACAACAGTGAGTATTACCATGGCGGGCACTCGCATGACGACATTGATATAATGCCTGTCAAGTGCAGCTGGCCTGCACTTTGCCCCCGCAAACAGGCTGCATCGCGGTTTCCTGCGACCAAACCAGAGACCATATTGGTTGGCGAGAGGTGTTGACATAGTCACACCGAGTCTGCGTCAGGGCTAACTCTTGCCGTTATTGCTTTCGCGCGCATAAGATAGAAGTTAACACCATGTCAGTCACAATGTCAAAACTACCCATCTGTCGGCCTATAGGCTTGAAAATGGCTGATGCTGAGGTACCCTGCATCATTTTAAGTAAGCAAACCGCTCACTATAACAATTGTTACACAGATAAAACTCGTTTATTTCATTGAAGGAGTCCAATCGGGGGCAAGAAGCTTACTTTTCGATTAGTCAAACTCAGACATATACTGTAATATATAAATATATATTATTTCCGAAGCGTCAGCACTGTAGTCCATGAAAGCGTCTCTTTTTTTAGTTTTCTTCTTTGGAGATGATGAACGGAATAATTTATGCGGACCTCGTATCTTTATGGTTTCTCCTGTCTTAGTCCGTTCCACTGCGCCACGGAAACGTCGTCTTGCTTACTTCGTTCGGGAATATACATCGGAGCAGTTCAAGTTATCTATATGGTGTCGATGAGGCACTCCAATTTTACTTTGCCAGCGGATATTTCCGACGACCAAGGCAATGACCATTCGGTTAGTCACCCTGTCCTTGTGCTCGCTAAGGGCGTTTATACAAGCCCTCAAGCTTCCCTGACCAAAATTGAACCCAATATATTCGTTCCTTAATCCTACCAGGTCGCGGTACAGCTATGCGCTCCTTGCTCCTATGCCTCTGAAGAAAGTAAACAACAATGACTGCCAACATTTCTGGACGCATCAACTATCTCTCCATCACTACTATTCACTGGCTGCCTTAACTCACACCGGTTCACGCTAAATGACTTATATTACAGTGCCGACCTGAAGATGAAGAATCGAAAACGTAGGTCTGTCAAATCTGACTTCTAGTTATGATCTAATTGTTAAAACCTCGGCGGCCTAGGTGGGATTCGAACCCTAGACAGGAAAGTCAAGACTTAAGTTCAGCCAACACTCGAACCAGCCACCAAGCCCCAACCAGGAGACCTGAGTATGATAGTTTGTTTTTCAAAATTCAAATCTAGGACAAAGCGACAAAAAAGCATAGCTTGGAAGACTTAACGCTCAGACTGCAATGCCCCGATTGTACCGTAGCATTACTGGCACACTTACCTTGTGGGAGACCCAGGTGCCTCTTCGACGCCTAGCGGATAGGGAGTTAGGGGGGAACGTCGTGCCTGGCAAGCGCAGACGGGTAGTCTAATATTTCCAGTCACTGCGCCCACACTCATTCTCAAGCTTCATGACAGCGCCTTGCCGGCGAAACACAGCGTAAGTATGAATAGATGACGCGGTAGATGTTGCCTTACAAAAAGCCAATCCATGCGCAAAGTAGTATTACCTGCATCTAAGGGCAGGTCGAACTATCCAGCCTGCATTTAAATATCTTCCACGAGGCAAGACTAAGCCGAAATGTCAAACAGTGTCTGCTCTCATTCGGCAGAAATTGAAGGAGCGGCACTATTTTGGGTGGCAAAACAAAGGCTGTTATGCGCCTTTGAAAAACAAATGCTACCAAAACCCTGCATCACGGCAGAACTGCCATATACATTGAAAATGGGTCTGCTAGGCGCCCCAAAAACCGAATATTATAAGCCACGCACATGCAACAATCATAATGTACACGACCCAACGCGCTCACGAAGGCGCTGTGGTAGCTTTTTTGTCGCTGTTTAGTTGTTCGTAAGTCAAATTAGTAGCGCTCAGGTGAAGGGAACCTATCGGGCGGAATCTCATCGGCTGAAGCTGGTCGCGAATGCGCATGCAGGTCAGAGCGTCGGGTGAAAGCGCTTGTCTCGGTCCACACACACACAGACGTGATACAAGCAGGTTCCCTTTCGGGTAATCCGACAGTCACACAACAGCAGCACTGATTGGAGATGGCTCCAGTCAGGAAGCTGTGTCGACGCCAATGGTCAAGCTTCTTTGCTCTCTAACCTGTAGGCACACATC